ATGCAATACACAATTCACAGTCATGAAGTTGATATTTTGCCAGTTGTACCTATGGATAATTGTATGTACTATTGATTAAATGTAACATCAAAAATTATAGGCCAGATGTTAAAAGGGCAACTGCCTTTATGCAGGAACAATTTGCTCCCACAAAAATTGTTGTGAACAAAAGGGAGACTGGTTAGAGGCTCTTAAAACAAAACAAAACAAAAAAAACCCCTTGCAGTTGAGTTTTCAAGCAGCTATTGCTTCTTTAATTCAGTTGTGTCTAAGCACTGTAACATATAGGGCCAGATTTATAATGTATGTTTACTGAGTTTATGGAATATGGCCAAGATTTTCAAGAATGAATAGCAATTTTGTCTCTAATAATGTTTGCCCAATTTGTGAAACTTTAAGTGAGCTTGATTTTCAAAAAGGGCTGAGTATCTACACTCTGAAAATTGGGCCCCTTTAAAAAGGTATCTCAAATTGAGCAGCCAACAATTGAGGTCCCAAAGTCACAAGCCGCTTCTGAAAATCTTTGTCCGAAGAACTAGAGCATTGTATTATCATTTGTTCAGACACGTGTTTTTTGTAACGTACGGGGGGGGGAATTTAGTTTGTAAGATTGCCACATGAGGAAAAATGATCTTCAGTGCAGAGCTGGAATATTTTCTCCTTCTTGCCATATCTGGTGCTGCTGACGAAGACAGGAATGTTGCTCTCTTCCCTATCACTCCCACGCACTGAAAAGAAAGCAACTAACGGGCAGTACATCTCAATTACATACATCCACTGCAGTGAATGTTTTATGTGGTTTCCTGTACATAAAATTACTAACATAACTAATGGTGGCTAAGGTGAGGCGCAGCCAGTGGCAAATTATATTTATATATTAAAAAAATTAAAGACACACATCTCTAAATTATTTGGAACCTTCAAATTGTGCATGTTGTTAGCTATATAACAATGGAAATATTTTATGGTTAACCTCCTCTATCCTTCACTCCTTCTGTTGGTTGTTGTACTCACTTATTGTATCTTGTCTTAAATTAGAACATTGGTGTCCAAATTCCAGTTTTTCAAACTGGTCAAAACAGTGACATCTGAATGAAAACCAAAAGCCAGAACCTTAATCCAAGAGTTGTCAGTCAGCTCAAATAGGCACAAGATTAAAAAATAAAATTGAAAGAAATTTAAAACAAAGTAAACATAATGGGTGCACTTACATCTGCTGGAGAGGAAAACAAATGAGATTGAGAACAAACTAACTTCTAGTTTACAAAACTGATGTCATTCAACATATCTATTGGACGGTCTCCAGTTGGTGGCAAGGAGGTACCATAGCCAATAATGTCTCAGAAATACAGAGAAATTGCTGTTCATACATGTTTCTGATAGAAGGCATCTGACCACTATTATCAGTTGCAAAAATAACAGCTATTCCTCCCTCTCTCATCTTTAATATCTAGCCAGTTATTAGTTTACATTGGCATTTTCCCTCCTGGATTGCCATAAGATTCCATCACATAAAGATACCTCAGAAAGGCAATAAGTTCCTAATTACACCCCGTACATACCAAATCAAAGAGACGCTAATGCTACTGACAGACACTATTCATATTAAAATCCATATTATTATCCGCATTAGTCACATAGCAGTACTTAGGATGACTCCCCTTTTTTCAGCAACAATTTTATTGCTGTGCACTGCACTCTAGACATATATTTTATATTTATTATAAATAATGAACAAACACTGACTTTAAAAAGGAAACATACAGTACTATACTTACACACAATTACTAGAAATCATTTTTGATTTATGCAGTATTTCACACAGTACACAACTTATATTAGTTTCAGTATCCTAATTCATTTCACTCATGTCATATAATTCTTCATTCTGGAAACCATCACCACCTATTTAGGAGATAAGCCAAGGATGCAGGAATTTTTCTTTACAACAGGCCTTATTATTTATCCTGCAGTAAATGCAATACTTCCTCTTATTGTCATTGCACACAATGGCCAGGGCCGCCCAGAGGATTCAGGGAGCCTGGGGTCTTCGGCGGCAGGGGGCCCGCGCCGCCAAAGACCTGGCACTTCGGCAGTGGGTCCCGGGGTGGAAGGACCCCTGGCCGCGGGTCTCAGAGCGGAAGGACCCCACCACCACCGAACTGCTGCCGAAGACCCGGAGCGGAAGAAGCTCCGGGGGCCCGGGCCCCGCGAGAGTTTTCCGGGGCCCCCGGAGCGAGTGAAGGACCCCGCTCCAGGGGCCCCGAAAAACTCTCGTGGGGGCCCCTGCGAGGCCCAGGGCCTGGGGCAAATTGCCCCACTTGTCCACCCCCCCCCCTGGGCTGCCCTGCCAATGGCACTACCATAGAATACTCAACATTTCTAGATAATAAGCTCTTCAGCAAAAGTGGGTGTCATCTTCCCCTAAGGTAAGCTTGGCTTCATTCCGTTTGGGAAAAATGGGAGGCAGTGGTCATCTTTGCTAAGAGCAGCCTAAAGTTTCTCCTGCACAGGCTGTGTAGGTATTTTATGACCTCAGTCCCACTGAGAACACTGAGGGATGCGAACCATTGACAAAGAAAAACAAAAATTAATGAGGGTGAAAAGTTGTCAGTGGGTGCCTCTTCGTCCACATATCAAAGCACAAGGCACCTTCTAGTCTACTACATTTTAAACAATCTTGAGTCCACGCAACTCCAAAAATGGAAATCTATGGAGACAGTTTTATGAAGGAATATCAATATGTATCACTAGAGGAAGAATGGAGTGTGTTTGGTCTGTAGCTATATTATAGAAATCCTAGAATCATAGAATATCAGGGTTGGAAGGGACCTCAGGAGGTCATCTAGTCCAACCCCCTGCTCAAAGCAGGACCAATTCCCAACTAAATCATCCCAGCCAGGGCTTTGTCAAGCCTGACCTTAAAAACCTCTAAGGAAGGAGATTCCACCACCTCCCTAGGTAACCCATTCCAGTGCTTCACCACCCTCCTAGTGAAAACGTTTTTCCTAATATCCAACCTAAACCTCCCCAACTGCAACTTGAGACCATTACTCCTTGTTCTGTCATCTGGTACCACTGAGAACAGTCTACATCCATCCTCTTTGGAACTCCCTTTCAGGTAGTTGAAAGCAGCTATCAAATCCCCCCTCATTCTTCTCTTCTGCAGACTAAACAATCCCAGTTCCCTCAGCCTCTCCTCATAAGTCATGTGCTCCATCCCCTAATCAGTTTTGTTGCCCTCCGCTGGACTCTTTCCAATTTTTCCACATCTTTCTTGTAGTGTGGGGCCCAAAACTGGACACAGTACTCCAGATGAGGCCTCACCAATGTCGAATAGAGGGGAACGATCACGTCCCTCGATCTGCTGGCAATGCCCCTACTTATACAGCCCAAAATGCCGTTAGCCTTCTTGGCAACAAGGGCACACTGTTGACTCATATCCAGCTTCTCATCCACTGTAACCCCTAGGTCCTTTTCTGCAGAACTGCTTCCTAGCCATTCGGTCCCTAGTCTGTAACAGTGCAATAATATATGGATATCTACCTATCTCATAGAACTGGAAAGGACCCTGAAAGGTCATTGAGTCCAGCCCCCTGCCTTCACTAGCAGGACCAAGTACTGATTTTGCCCCAGATCCCTAAGTGGCCCCCTCAAGGATTGAACTCACAACCCGGGGTTTAGCAGGCCAATGCTCAAACCACTGAGCTATCCCTTCCCCCCTTGAATCACAAACAATGACTTTTTCTTCCTCTAGCATTAAAATATTGTATATTTATATCTGCTTTCTGTTGTACTACAAAACTACACATCTTGCCTAACAAGCAGGAACCTTTTTGTTAACCTTTTCAGGATTCACTCCCTCTCTAAGGCCTTGTCTACACTAGGAAATTGTTCCTAAAATTTCCTACCACTGCTATCACTAGTGCAGCTCCACTAGTGAGAACTCTAGTGTGGACAAAATCCTGGTGGCCAGTGGCATTTTGAGCAATGTCCTGAAGACTTGCTCAGTGGGGTTACAGGATGTTTAAAACACTAGCCACCTAGAATCTTGTCCACCACCCAGAATACAACACTTAGAATCCTAGAATACTAGTGCTCCCACCAGTAGCACTGAACCAATGATAGCAGTACTGGGAAATCTTAGCAAACAGTGTCTAGCATAAACATAGCCATAGGATCATGTCAAAAAGACAAAATTTACTGTAAGATAAAAAGATCGTTAATAATAAATGCCCTCCAAATTAATACGGCTATTTAAAGCAACTATTCTGATTAAATTTAAATACCGGAAGTCTAAGCAAATTTGTGTTATTCAAAAGCTATTCATATTTCTGTTAAGTTCTTGGCATCTAAAGCGCTGAAATATTTTTGTTAATTTTGTATCAGTAATTATGGGTAATCATATTTTCTGGAATCACAGGTTAACATAATGAGACAATGTACCATCAACTGTGGTGATGATGCCAGACATAAAAAAAAAATAGCATTTGATTTTTCGTTCCTACATCAAGTCTTTATGAAGTAAATGAAAGATCATATACACGAACTCTGGTTTTCTTGAAAAATGCTAATGATAATAGTAGAACACTAGGCCTTGACCTCATGAAATAAGAAACAGTTAGCATTGAGCTCATTGTTGCTGTGGGGCTACAATTATATTCACTTCATCACAAGGTTGGGGAGAGCAACACTTTGTTATTAGTTCTACCTAGACATTTATGGAAGAGTTGAGAAAACAGATTCTCAATTAGATTGTTGAAGCAAGATACAAACTGATCATCTTACAATATGAATACATCCAAAATTTATAACAAATACATGAGAAACAAAGGTAGGTAGTAAGTTATCTCAATGTGATCTTTATTACCACAGAGAAAAAGTTAATTCATTATTAATAAGGTGGGTAACTCTCACAAAATAGGAGAATTGATCCTTAATAGTGGAAAGATTCTCTCGAGCTACCAGGGAAATGAAGCACACAAAATAAATAATCTTACTTTTTCATCGTCGTCAGTAAAAGGAGCACCTCCAGGAGTTTTATTTATTGCTTGGGCAACACCAATAATCTCTCCATCATTGTTTCTTATGGGCATGCACAACAATGACTTTGTCTTGTATCCAGTCAGTTTGTCAATCTCATCATTAAAGCGACGATCCTACACAAGGAAATAAGGGAAGTATTAACATGTGCATCTTACTTTTCTGAGTTTTCTTCAAGGAGAGAAGTTCACTGAATATCTTCTTCACTCAATGTCTTTTTTTAACAGTGACATTATATTGGTACCTTATTCCCTACCTATTACCATAGCATACCTAATTGTTGTTTTCCATAATTAATATAGTGCAAGAGAGAAGTTTTCTTATAAGGCTGTTCCAAGTACTGGGTATAATACACCCTTGTGCAGAGGGTCAGTGCGAAACCTATGCATCACTTAAGCACTCAAAATAGGATACAGGGTTGACTTCATCCTTAAAGAGCAGAATAGAAGACCCCAAGAGGAGAATGGGAGAAGAAAACACAAGAAGCACTAAAGAGAAAAGCTTGTAACAGTAGAGCAGAGATGTGCCTTTAAGACGGAAGCCAGAAGCATCATGTCTTTCTACTCCAACATCCCCTTATATTCTTTCTCTCTCGCTCATTTGCCCTTGCTTCAGGATGAATTACCTCTCTTTCATCTCCCAATACAAAAATGGAGCTGTTGTCTTCTTCCTGCTCCTCCTCTTCTGAAGAAGAGGGTGTTCTGACTCTCTCCCACTGCCTCAGCAGCTTCCACCATTCTGCGTTCATTTTCCTCAGTGATCCGCAACGTGCTTAAGAATTGGGTACTCCTGTGATTCACTCACTCTGCCTTCCATAGGATCAGGCCCTGAATATTTTTCTCTTAATCTCATTAATTTATAGTAAACTTATCATAATTGTTATATGTAACCATATCAGGTAAAAAATGTCAGACAGAAGTGCCATTTTTAAGTTGCCCCTTAAGCTTCTGTTTGCAGCTTGCCATATTCAAACAGCATTATGAGTTATGAAACAGAGACCATCTGAACAGAACAGTTGTTCAACAATGTAAGATTAGCTACCAATATTTTCAAAGTGGTGCATAGGGCTTTAGCCACAATTAATGCCCAACCAAATCCCTCTGCAGCACACAGAAAATGTAGGGGCAAATACCTTGTTCACCTGAATGGTCCTAAAATACAGTATCCATTAATTGGCTTCCTTTTCCCTTTAATTTGTAGAGTTCCAAGGGGTATGTTTTCAGTGTAGAGTGCAGGGATTTCACAGCACAACTCTCATTAACGTTAATGGGAGCAGTGTGACTGAATCTTTACAATGAAAATGCACCCCTAAGCATTGCATGCAACTAGTAATTATTTATTCAAGCAATTTGCAAAATTAATTTCTTGCCATTTTGTTTATTTTTACTTTATGCAGATCAGGTATTCTGTCTTACATTTATATAAAGCAGGTATTTATTCATATTAAAATGGGAGTGGAGAATGTATTTTTAGTATTAAATCACACTCTCATCAATCCACTGACATTTAGTTTTTATACCCTAGAATTTCATGAACTTCTGTTATTGAATGCTTGTATATAATTTCCAGATCATAAAGTGAATAAAATTAATAAGATTCTCAGAGGAAATCATATAAAATGTGTACTTTCTCTGAGAAATTTGGATAATGTATTTAATGCTTACCTGAATCTACATTATGAACAGAAGGGACCTCTCAAAACAGGATGATAGAAATCAACGTATGACTTATTTTTAAATCCAAGTAACACAGGAATTCAAGAAACAGACAGCATACTAAACAATAAATATACCAAAATCAAAATGCTAAAATTTCATCTATGCCAAAATATTTGTAAGTATTTTTGTACTATTAATTTTTTACCTAAGCTAAGCATGTCCACTAATCCTCATTAAAGGAGGATGTACGTGAGAGCTAAATCTCTGCTAAAATTTGTCACTTCAGAGCACTGGAAGAAGACTTCAACTTTCAAGATTGAAATTTCAAATAATTCAATAGAGACTAAATTGTTTTTATGGCTAACGATTTGTTGTTGTTTTTCTACAAGGAAGAACTGCTCTGTTTGTTCCCATTCCAGGTGGGATCAGAATGGTGAACACACAGTACTATCGCCAAGAGGCATTCAGATACACCAGTGATGTGTATGGTACAAATACTTGGACATATAAAAGAAATTAACAGACACAAAGTGCACATCCACAGTACCTCACTCACTACAGGGATGTAACAACTGTGAATCAAATATAATTAGGAAGAAGATATTAAGGGTCTATAAACCAACTAAAGTTTAATCTTCATTACAAAATAATGTAATCACTGTACAGAACATTCTTTCTGAAGGAGTTATCTGATGAAGATAAAAGATCTAATTAATAGTGCTAGGCAATGTATGTATGCTGGACCATGTGGGTATTTCACTAATACCCTGTGCATGGTTTTTCTTCCCCAAAGATTGAAGTTGCTAATTTGGGCCCAAATCATCTTTGTTTTTTTTTTCACATTACATTTGATACATACAATTAAGGAAGTTTTGGCATGTTACATGAGATCTAATATTCAGAATGGGATTAAAGGGATCTGTAATACAACATCAAATGTTTCTAGAGAGCAGAGAGTTAAACATATTTATAGACTTTTCCATGTGGGATTCACAGTGCATATTCAGATTGTAACTTCTGCAGAGCTGCACCTTGACTTCTGATTTCTCCTGTAATGGGCCAAATACATTTTGGCACTACATAAGGAATAATAAAAAAGCTATAGATCTGAATTATCTAGTACATTTAACAATATTTCTGGTCTCAGATGACAAAAAGATTAATTCACTGATAATCATACTAATGTAAAATGTTTGTACTAAAAGACATCATGCTCCACTGTATTTCACACTTACAAGTGAGTAATGTAAATTCCTTTCCTTTATGGAAAAGCTAAATTCAAGCTGCAAGAAATTCATCCAGGTGCAGAAGACCCTGTGACTGGGTGTATCAATCCCTCATTGGCAACACAGGGATTAACAAACTGTTGTGGGCCCAAGAGGCCACGCCCCCTTTCTCTTGCTGGACATGCTCCTGGTGGAAGGAACATATACAAAGGAAGCAGCTCAGTTCAGTCTGGACTGGCTGAGGAGGAGACTGGACATGCCACCTGCAGGCTCCTACAGAGGAGCTGCCGAGACACTCCAGACTGCCAAGGCAGAGTATTCTGACTACACTGCAGAGAACCAATTGACTGCAGGGACTGAAGGGGACGCCAGGTCACTGCCAGCAGAGGAGATTGTTGTGTATTTGGAAGTCGTGGTAATAGAACCTTGTTGTTGCTATGGCAACTGAGTTAGATTATAAGGGAATAGCCAAGCCAGTTTTGGCTGGTTTGGTTAGTTCAGTGTGTGGCAATAAACGGCTGCTTTTAAGTTTACAGCTCTCCGTGTCTCAAGTGATTTCTTCCTAAAACTGCTAACCCATGCAGGGCTGGCTCCAGCTTTTTTGCCGCCCCAAGCAGCGAAGAGGGGGGGGAAAAAAACAAAAAAAACCCGCGATCGGCAGTTGCTCTCCCGCACCGCTTCATTCTTCGGCAGCAATTCGGTGGCTGGTCCTTCCCTCCGAGAGGGACTGAGGGACCTGCCACCGAAGACCCAGACATGCCACCCCCTTCCATTGGGCTGCCCCAAGCACCAGCTTGCTGCACTGGTGTCTGGAGCCAGCCCTGGCCCCAAGGATACGACAAAGTGGCAACGAGGATGGGATTCCTATGCTGCCCCAGCGACAGAAGGAAGTAGAATTCCAAAAACAACAACCAAAAAAAAAAAACAAAAAACCTTTTTGTTGTTGGAAGGGGGTGAGAACTGGCTTGTTTGCACTGATTGTGCAAACTGAAACTAAAACCATGGCTACACTTACAGGGCCACTGGAAGCTTTTGAGGAGACTATTGTGCAATGGCACGTATATACTAAGCATTTTGAGCTTTTTGTTATTGCAAATGACATTACAGAAGAGAAGAATATTCTTAAGTGTTGTAGGGGCTAAGACCTACTCCCTGCTACGCAGCTGATTCCACCCTGTTAAGCCTGAGACCAAATCTTACAGTGACATTTTGGAAATCCTGGGGATCCATTTTTCTCCAAAAGCACTGGTAAATGCTGAAAGATATAGGTTCCACAAGAGAGACCAAAAAGAAGATGAAACCGTTGTACAATTTGTAGCAACTTTGAAAAGGCTTGCGGAACACTCTGAATTTAATGAGATATTAAATGACACCCTACGTGATAGGTTAGTGTGTGGCCTGCACAGTGAAGCTATACAGAAGCGCCTATTGACAGAGGCTCAGCTTACCTTACAGAAGGCTGTCGATATTGCAATCTCTATGGAACTGACAACAAAGGAGGTGCAATACATCAGTGCATTCCCTAGGGTGCATAAGGTGTCACAAGAACCTACCCACAAAACTGTGTGGAGTCAGGAATGTTACCGCTGTGGTAAGCTGGGTCACCATGCATCAGAATGCTGGTGTAAGGACCTGGTGTGTCGACACTGTGGCAAAAAGGGACACAGCGAGTGTTCCTGTAAGCAAAAGAAAAAGAGGCCTGTGGTTTGGCCAACCAAAAAGGGAAACCTGCATACCCTAGAGCAGACCCAGGATGACCAAGGAGACACCTCATCGCATGAAAAAGTGCCACTGCACATTTTGTCTTTGGCAGTGGGCTCACATGAATACTGGGTAACCCCATTGTTGGACGGCAAACCTATACGCATGGAACTGGACAGCGGTGCAGCCGTCTCGCTGGTCTCCGAGACTGTGTATAAAGAAAAGCTACAGCATCTTCCGCTTAAGGCAACAAAAACTGTTCTGAAGACGTATACAGCAGAAGCTGTGCCCATGTTGGGCACTATTGGTGTTAAGGTAGAGCTCAGTGGACAGGCTGCTAAATTGCCACTGTTTGTGGTGAAAGGTAATTACCCAGCCTTAATGGGTAGGTCTTGACTTAGGAAGATTCAGCTGAACTGGGCAGAAGTGCACCGAATGACTAAAGAAGAAACCGGTCTGACCACTATACTAAGGAAACAAGCTGCTGTTTTTGGAGAGGATCTGGGAAGTATGAAGGGAATCACTGTGACA